AATAAAGAATAACAACATTCTTCATAAGAGTACAGGCAAAAGATTAAAAACACACATCAACCAACTCCAAAACCAAATGAAAGACAACAAACAAACAAGAACAACAATTCTGTAAGAACTTTATGACAGGGATAAGCTCCTGCATTTCAGTAATTAGCCTAAATGTGAATGGACTAAATGCACCACTGAAAAGACATAGAATGGCAAAATGGATAAAATATCACCAGGCAACAATCTATTGCCTTCAAGAGACTCACCTCCCTAGAAAGGACACTCACAGACTCAAAGTAAGAGGATGGGAAACAAATTCTCAGGCAAACGGAACACAAAAGAAAGGAGGAGTCATGATCTTAATTTCAGACAAAATACCCTTTAAGTTATTAAAAATTAAAAAATATACAGAAGGCCACTACATAATGATAAAAAGTTCAATCAATCAACAAGAAATATCCATCTTAAACATATATGCACCCAACATAGGAGCGCCAACTTTCATAAAACAGCTTCTACATAAACTCAAAAAAGATATCAACTCTAACACCATCATAGTTGGGGACTTCAATACCCCACTCACAAACCTTGACAGATCATCAGGACAAAAAATCAGCAATGAGATCCAGAACCTCAATGTGACTCTTGACCAAATGGACTTAACTGATACCTACAGAATACTCCATCCAACAACCACAGAAAATACATTCTACTCATCACCGCATGGAACGTACTCTAAGATCATTCACATACTTGGCCATAAATCAAGCATAAGCAAATTTAAAAGGGCTGAAATTTTACCATGCACCTTCTTGGACCACAGTGGAATAAAAATAAACATTAAGACCAACAAGGTCTCCCCCAAACCCACAAAGACATGGACACTGAACAGCATGATGCTAAACAACTCCTGGGTCAACAATGAAATCAAAACAGAGATTAAAAGATACCTGGAAACAAATGAAAATGAAGAGACATCTTATCCAAATCTCTGGGACGCCATGAAAGCTGTAGTAAGAGGAGAATTCATATCCCTACAAACGCACATGAAGAAAATGGAAGGAACACAAATTAACAGCCTAACAAGCCACCTAAGGAAGTTGGAAAAACAAGGCCACCAAAAGCCTAATTTCAGCAGAAGAATCCAGATCACCAAAATAAAAGACCAAATCCAGGACACAGAAGACAAAAAGATAATACAAAAAATCAATGAAACAAAAAGCTGGTTCTTTGAAAGGATAAACAAGATCAATGGTCCCCCTAGCTAGACTGACCAAGAAAAAGAGAGAAAAAGCCCAAATATACACAATTAGAAACACAAAAGATGAAGTCACATCTGACCCTGAAGAAATACAAAAGATCATTAGAGACTACTACGTACATTTGTATGGAAACAAACTTGAAAACCTTAAGGAAACAGAGGACTTTCTGTCATCACACAACCTGCCTAGGTTGAAACAAGAAGAAATTGAGACCCTAAATAGACCAATAACAATCAAGGAAATTGACTATGTAATAAGAAAACTATCTACAAAAAATAGCCCTGGACCAGATGGCTTTCCAGCAGAATTATACAAGACATTTAAGAGGAGCTGATTCCAATCCTACTGAAGGTATTCCAGGCAATTGAAAAAGATGGAACTCTTCCCAAATCATTTTATGAAGCTAACATCACATTAATACCCAAGCCAGGTAAAGACCCAACAAAGAAAGAGAACTACAGGCCAATATCTTTGATGAACAAAGATGCTAAAATTCTTAACAAGATCCTAGCAAAGTGGATTCAACAACACATCTCAAAAATCATCCAACATACCAAGTAGGCTTCATCCCTGGGATGCAAGGCTGGTTCAACATTTGTAAAAATCATAAATATAATTAAATACATCAACAGATGTCAAAACAAAAACCACATGATTATATCATTAGATGCAGAAAAAACTTTTGATAAAATTCAGCACCCCTTCTTGATAAAAACCCTTGAATATCTAGGCATACGGGGAACATACCTCAAAATAGTAAAAGCCATCTATGAGAAACCCACAGCCAGCATACTCCTAAATGGACAAAAACTGGAACCATTTCTTCTGAAAACTGGAACAAGACAAGAATGCTCACTCTCACCCCTCCTGTACAATATAGTATTGGAAGTCCTGGCTAGAGGAATCAGAGAAGAGAAGGCAATCAGGGGTATCCAAATGGGAAAAAAGGAAGTCAATTTATCTCTCTTTGCAGATGACATGATCATGTACCTTGAAAACCCAAGAGAATCTGTCAAAAACCTCCTTACACTGATAAAGGCCTTTGGCAAAGTCTCAGGATACAAAATAAATGTGCAAAAGAGAATCGCATTTCTTTGAACCAATAATAAACCAACAGAGACCCAAATAAAAAGCACAGTTCCATTCACAAAAGCTACAAAAAAAAAAAAAAAAAAAAAAAAAGAAATACCTTGGCATCTTCCTAACCAGAAACATAAAAGACCTTTACAATGAAAACTACAAAACACTGCTCAAGGAAATCAAAGATGACACATAAACAAGTGAAAAAATATCCCATGCTCATGGATTGAAAGAATCAACATTGTGAAGATGTCCATCCTATCTAAGGCAATCTACAGATTTAATGCAATACCCATCAAATTACCAGCAACATTCTTCTCAGACCTAGAAAAAACAATACAGGAATTCATATGGAAACACATATGACCAAGAATAGCCCAACAATCCTCAGCAAAAAGAACAAAGCAGGAGGTATCACTTTACCAGACTTCAGACTGTACTGTAAAGCTACAATAGTCAAAACAACTTGGTATTGGTGCAGGAACAGGCATATAGACCAATGGAATAGAATTGAGATTCCAAACGCAAAACCTCAATTTCTCAGCCAATTCATCTTCGACAAAGCCTACACCACCAACCACTGGGGAGAGGAGAACCCCAGTAAATGGTGCTGGAAAGACTGGCTGACCACATGCAGAAGATTCAAACAAGACCCCTATCTATCCCCATACACAAAAATTAACTCTAAGTGGGTCAGAGACCTAAATGTAAAACCTCAAACCATAAGAACCTTTGAAAATGGAGGACATACCCTTATGGAAATTGGAACTGGCATCCAATTTCTGAACAAAACCTGAAACACTTGGGCCATAAGAGATAAGATATACAAGCGGGACCTTATTAAACTGACAAGCTTCTGCCAAACAAACCATTAAGAGAGCAGGGATACAACTCACAGACGAAAAAGTATTTGACAACTCCATGTCTGACAAAGGCCTAACATCTGCTATCTACATGGAACTCAAACGTGCTGAAAAGAAAAAAGCAAACAACCCCATTACAAAGTGGGCAAAAGATATGAACAGACACTT